GCTGTTCAGAGTTTGTGACAAAAATGTCACGGGATGGTAACAAGTTTAAATCACTGCCTTAGAGTGAGTTGAGTTTCCAGAGATAGAAGCTGTTGTGGTTGGAGAGAGAAGATGTGGGCTGGGTGGGGGCTGAGTTAAGCCCTTTCATTTGCTATGGTGGCAGTTGAACTAAATCCAAGAGATCAGAGCTCTTTCCTCTGGTGCCTGTGTCTCTCTACTGCTCCCAAAGACAGAGCACAACCATCTCACCTGGACAACCACAAATATTGCCTGCACAATGGGGTAGATGATTTTGATTGCAGACAGGCAGCTGTAGAAGCTCGAGTAATACCCTATTTTGAACACATCCATCACAAGGCTGAAAATGGCAAATAGGATCAGGCCTCCTGTTGGGGAACAAAAATATCTGTGGTTGGACAGATGTGTGCACACATGGGCTAAAGCAGATGGAGAGGAAGAAGAGAAAATGTTATCATGAAGAGGTTTTGCTTTTACTGCCCTTTTTCCTCTCCCTGCACCCAAATTTTCTTGGCAGCAACAAAATCATACGATAATTTTGGCTGGAAGCCTGCCCTTTTTCCTCTCCCTGCACCCAAATTTTCTTGGCAGCAACAAAATCATACGATTTTGGCTGGAAGTGATTTTCAATCAGCCTGGTATGCTGAGGCTAACAGCTCTTGCAAAAGCAACGGGAGAGATCCTGGTGTGGATTCAGGGAGACCTGGCAGTGAATCCAGTGCAGGGACCAGGAGCTGACCTGAAGCAGGGCATGGTGCCATGCCCCAGTCCATCAGCAGGAAGAGGCTGTGCCCAGATCTTTGCTGCTCCCCTTGTAATAACTGATGCTCCCATGAACCGTCCATGCTGTATCTCCCCTCCAGCCCCAGCACCCACCTCTCAGCCAGATGGGCCCGGCGTGGGAGTCCTTGCCGAGGATGGCACCCGGGCAGCGGGAGGTGCCAGCGAGGTAGAAGATGATCCAGATGATGACGATCAGCATCATGACTGTCAGCAGGAAGAAGACGTCGTAGTCGTGCACGGCGATCTTCTCGAAAGCCCCGCTGCTCACCAGCGTGCAGGCCAGCAGGGCCAAGTGCACGGCCAGCAGGATGGAGAACATGCGGCCACCCTTTTTCCACACTTCCTTGGAGGCAGGACTGGAGGGGGGCTGGTGGCCGAAAGACGCTATCTGGCTCGAAGCCAGGCTGGCCTTGTCGTCCTTGTGTCCGCAGCCCATGCTGCAGTGCGGGTGTCCGAGCTCGCTGTCCTTCCGCCCGGGCTCCTCGGTCATGGTTCAGCCAAGGCTCTGCCTGAGGGTCAGCACTGCTGGGAAGAGAGGCCCATGAGTGAGAGGTGCATTTGTAAGAGCCCAGGACTGGGCCAAAGCAGGACACGTGATGAGGAGCACAGGATGTATCACAGGAACAGGGAAGGCTGAGACAGGGAGTGCAAGAAGAAGGTGAGCTCATTTTCCAACTTTCCTTTCCTGGTTCCCTGATGGCTTTTTTTACTTAAGATGCTCTTGCTCAGGAAGATCCCAGGTAATTTTAACGAAGTGTATTTAATTGGTCACACAACATTTACGTGTTTATTGATGCAAGATTTGGAAAAGCACCAAAAAGCACTCACAGGATCAAATATCCTGGGGCAAACATCCAGTGTGGTTTAAATTCTAAATGTCAAACACTAAATATTCTGAGAAATTGTTATACTTCCTTGCTGAAGAACAGGCCACCAAAAGGTAAGAAATCCCCCGGAATCTTTGGAGTATCACATCATAATTTGTAGCAGTTCCTGCAGGAAGGGTGTGAACTACCTGAGTTGTCACGCCCTCTAAAGCCCTTTGCCTGTGCCAAGTTTGGCATTTCATTCATTCTCAGTGAAAAGCCTGAAATAAAGTGAATTAACCATCCAAACAAAGCCATTCCACCAACCTGTTTTGCTGCCTGGGATCCAAATCTCTGCTCCTGCCAGGCTGAGAAGTTTCCCTGTTGCTGCAGCTTGGTCAGTTGAAGAATTTATACGTGTTGGGACGTCTCTGTAATTTATACCATATCTGGAGCTGACAGCAGGGCTTTGTGGGCTTCTCAGAGAAACTCATGTGATCCATTTTGTGCAATAGCTGATTTTGGGGAAGCTGGAAAGAGATGAGAAGATAAGGGTTATTTACCTAGCAAGAGCCTGAGCTGACAACACTGCTAAGCATGGCATGGACTGCTCGGTCACAGGGTTATGGCCACCACAGAGCAAGGCCACCCCACCAAATCCATCTCCCTACATGCATGAGGTCTCTTCCCTTGAGAGGAGATGGTTTAGGTGATGAACTTGTGGTTGGCTTTCCGCTTATTGGAGCAGAACAAACACTGCGCCCCACCCTGTGCTATTCAAATCAGTCCACTCCATGCCTCCAAGGTTCTTGAGGAAAAGGAAGAAATTTGCATTTGTACCTGCTCAGTGCCATGGTAACTCAATCCTTTCCCACCCATGCTGTCATCAACGAGGAAGATTTAGCACTAGAGAAGGGCAGGATTTAGGGACTGGAATTTGTGTTCTCCTTTGCTGACGCACTGCCTTTGACTTTTCAGGGTAGGATCACCTTTCTCTGGACCTCAGGACCTTAACTCCTGTCCTTCCAAGGAGTAACCATGTCACAAACCACAGGGCAGGTATGATTTGAATGTTTGTCTGGTAAGGGAACAGTTTCTGCTCAAGGTCTCTTTCACCCAGCTATGTCTTGTGGGGAAGCTGTAGGAGTCCCACGGCAGCTCTGGGTGGATGGGGACAAGTTTTAGTCCTTGAAATGCCTCTGTTGGAGATGTCTCTGCTGCTTTCTCCCTTCGGGGCAAGCACAGATCTGGGGCCATTTGCTATGTGTTTTCTCAGCCCCATTCCTGGCCGCTTGTGTCCTTCTTGCCACGCTGCAGGACAGCAAACGGAACGGTGTGGGATGGGGAAGGGGAGCCCAGGGAGAGCCCGGTGTGTCCCTGCCGTGCAGCTCTGCCCTGCCTGGCCTCTGCTGAGCCACAGCGATTCCTCTTGGGGCGAGCGGTTCATCTCTTCTCAGTCTGCAGCCTTTCCCAGGGGAAGCCCAGAAGTAAATCCGAGCTGATAATGATGTTTTGCAGAGGCCAGAGGTTCAGAGGCCCCTCGGGCTAAACGCGCTGGTTTACCGTGCCTCTTTTGTCCTTCCCAGCCAGCAACAGAGGAAAGAGTGTTTACTGCCTCGGGCAATGCTCCCAGTCCCCCTGGCAGCCACCGTACGGCGCAACAAATTTAATTAGTAACAATACACGAATCATTAAATAACGTCGGTAATGAGCTGCAGACGTTACTGTGCTGCAAGGATCCCAGCAACAAAATCCTCAGTGGCTACTGCATGCCATCAGGACTTGCCCAGGGAGGCTGAGCCGGTGCAAATGAACCTGCTGAGGTGAGCAAACCCCGCAGGGAGCAGACTCTGGCTGTGATGCACTTCCAGGTGTCCCCGGGCAGCCGGGATGCTGACTCTGTGTCAGCCACCCAGGGATTAATCACTGCAGCTTGCGTGGGTGCACCTGGCACTGCTTTAGGGCCACCCTCCTCTCTTGGGGCATTTTTTTTTAACCCTTACAAAAATAAGCTGCCTTTCTCACTTACTTCCTCTCTGCTCATTGCCTCCAAGCCCCCCTGATGCTGTCTTACAGTCTTTCCCCAGTTTTCCATTCTCCTCCCATTTCTCACCCATCCGATGGCTCTGTTCACCCTCTCCAAACCCTGTGCCTGTCCCAGGGCCATGGTGACACACAGCATCCCGCCCTGGAGATCTCCAGAGTCAGGACATTACAGCTAAAATGAAGAAGAGAGTAGCAGGAAATTCCTCCTCCATGTCACCATGTCCCACGGGATACAATCCACCGATTCACCCTTGGGTGTAATGTACTGGGACAGCTTCGTGCTTCGGTCAACATCCAGGCTTGGCTCCATCTTTCCGACAGCAGAGGGTGCCCGGGAACCGGGAACGCTGTGCTGGAGAACTGCCTGGGGCTGTCCAGCTCCCCGAGGGGCTCACACAGCCGGGAATTCTGTGTCAGCATAAAAGACACCAGAGGCCGGACACTGCAGGCACTGCACATCGCAGGAAGTACCGAGTTACACACAGGGTTTGGGGGCTTTTTTATGCTCCAGAAAGGGAAAAGAGGTGAGAAAGGGAACGTTTCCAGCCCTTATAGTTTCCTTGGTTTATCAGATTCCCGTTGCACAGTTTGTTGTGCAGTTCCTTGGAAAGCAGAATTCTGTGGGTATAGGCAGGGTAGATGCGGGATAGGGATGGTGTCTGGGTCTGCTGCTGTCTTCCTAGTGACACTAGGGAAAGATATAAATAAATAAATAAATAAATAAATAAATGTTTTGGGGGATTTTTTTAGTGAGGAAAAGCTGAGCTGTGAACACCCCTGGTATTACTTTGAAATCAGTCACCAAACTGCTCCTAGCCAACTCCATACAGAGCAGGATGATCCATCCAGGTCCGTGCTCTGACAGGGCTGTGAGTGGAGGCCGTGGGGGCTTGTGCTCCAGTGACCTCCTCTTCCTCCTCTGGCTACGGCTGCCCCTTGCTTGAGATGGGGTAGCTGTGGAACAGGGGCATATTGGGCAGGATACAACCAGCAGCCTGTGTGCCGCCTGCTCCGCTCTGGGGACGCGTGAACCTGGTGAATTGTTGCTGTGTGACCCCGTGCTGAGCCCAACAGAGCGACGCTGCTTAATTGGAGCTTTTAATGTGCCGTGGAGCTGGTGCGTGCTCCAAGGAGCCGCCGCGGCCGGAGGATGCTTAGGACCCAGGGGAAGCGCTGTGGAGCCTGGCTGGCTGCGCTTGGAACGCTCCTGCCTCCGCGGCCGGGACTTCTCAGGTGTCCCGGAGCTGTGCGAGGCCGGTGGGGCCCTCCTGGCAGCTGCCCCACGGCCGTGCCCATGCTCTGCACCCCCCGGGCACCCATGTGCTGGCCCGGGGACCCCTTGGCACCATGAACGACCAGTACCACCGAGCCGCCCGGGACGGCTACCTGGACCTGCTGAAGGAAGCCACCAAGAAGGACCTGAACTCGCCGGACGAGGATGGCATGACCCCGACCCTCTGGGCCGCCTACCACGGCAACCTGGACGCCCTGCGCCTCATCGTCAGCAGAGGGTGAGTGCTGGCCAGGGCACGGTGCTGGTCTGCGGAGCAGAGCAGCTGGGACCCCCTTCTTCCCCCTGCTCTGCTCACAGGTCAGCGTGCCCCACAAAATTATGGCTTCTCTCTACAAGACCCCTACTCCTGTCCTCCCTGCTGTTACTTTTCTTTGTGGTGCTTTGAATCTAATCCAACCCTCCTGATAACTGCTCTGTGTTTTCCCAGCTCCTCTGACCCTATAAGTGCTCCTGTCCCCAGCCTGCTTGCAGCACCCTGGGCAGGGATGAGTTCCCCCTTCCCAGGGCTTTGTGATCTTTTACAGGTCCTGTAAAGATAAACACATTGTGTTGCTGACATGAAAAAAGCCCTTTTAAGTGAGGAGGTAGAGAAAATAACTGCTCCCTCTGTCCCAAGAATGCTCACAGAGGCATGTGTGCAGTGCCAGCTGGCAGTGCGTGGCACTTGTCTGTTTTACCCAAAGCAAGGGCTCAGTACCTCCCTGGGCAGCTTGTTGTACACTTGGAGCCTGGGAAATTCAGGTTTTCCAAGAGCAGATTTCTTTAAGCCCAGTCTCCCCCACAGGGCCTGCTCCACACTGGTCTGTCTCTCTGTACCTCACCCTGGGCTGCCAAATCTTAAGAGTTTCTTGCTTCCTAAATGTGGATGTGGTGGAGAGGTGGGAGTGGGATTAAGGGGACTTAGACTGGAGGGATTTACACCTTGGTGTTGGGGGAACCACACAAGGTCTGTGCTAAAGCAAGACCTGCCATTCCTAGCTCTCTCTGGAGCAGTCTGTGACTCCACAGTTCTAACTAACCCCCCAAAGACACAGCCCAGTGCTTCCTTCTGCTCCATAGCTCTCCTGAGCACCTCTTTTAAAGCCATCCAAGCTGGAGTGGCTTCTGCCTTGTGTTGAGAGATTGGTGGTGCTGATTTTATGCATTTCCAGTACTGTGGGATGGTACTGAGGTCAGCAGCCTGGATGGACACCACACCTCCTTGAAAGGGCTTTACTTCTCCATGTTGGGCTTGCTGGGCCTGTCAGCTCCCATGCAGGGATTTTTTGTCCACCCTGGGCTGTGTTAGCAGCTCCTTTACCTGACCAGCCACATCTCCACTGCACCTGTTCCTGGGCTCTTGCCATGTCCTGACAGTCTGGTTTGCTTGTGCAAAATATTCAGGCAGTCCCTCAGCTGTGCTCACAGGCAGAGCTCCTCCATCCACGGCTGTCCTTTCATTGTAAATAATTTCCTTTCAGATCCTGGTCTGAAGGCTGTGTACAGAGTGGCTTTGATGCAGTAGGAGTGTGTTCAGGAAAAGGTTATTTCTGAGTCTGGAAGGGAAAGAGCAAGATGGTGCTCCCTCCGAGTGGAGCATCTGAGAGGGTCCTGGGCTGAGAGCCTGTGATGCTTCCCTGGCTGGGGCTCTCTGACTCCTTGTGTGCTCCAGGAAAGACTGTGCCCAGCAAAAACCTTTCCAGAGCTCCTGTCAGGACAGGAATTGCTAGCCAGGGCTAGAAGAGAGACATGGGAGGAATGCTGAGGGGAGAGCCAGAAGTTAAAAATGGTTTCAAAGACTCTGATGGCCAGAAAGTCAACCTGGAAGGCCCAAGCAGTGGGTGAACGCCCCTCCAGAAAGGCAAACCCTTTACTTTATAATCTCTTTATACCAGTGTATCTCCTCATATTGCTCATCTCCATCACAGGGCACCCTGCAGCACCTCCAAGCCAGCAGTTTCTGCCTCTCCACAAAGCCCAAGGGCTGCTTTTATAAACTCACATGGGATTAAAAGGTCCTTGTGGGCTCAAATCGTGTTCGAGTGCAGCTTGGCTGCTGTTTAATTAGCAACCTAATATACATTTGTTCCTGACAAGGAAAATAGCCTGGCAAAAGCCCAGTGCCCTTTACATGATGGATGGTGGAGCAAGGTGTGTGGCTGTGGGACTGCAGGATGTGTTTGCATTTGTGCATTCATCTCCATGTGTCAGATCCTTACCCAGGGCCACAGAAAGACCAGCAAAGTGCTTGGCATGGAGGCAGCCCTGCTCCTTGGAGCTGGCTTTGTGTCTGCCAAAGGCAGGAAAGCCCCAGCCTGGGGACAAGGGTGGCAGAGAGGTGGAATTGTGCAAGACCCAGGAGAGCCTGAGGGCAGACCCTGTAATTTTCTGCCAGTGCCCAGAATGATGTGCCACAGTATTTAAACTTTGTTCAGAGATGAAACTTAATGCTGTGTTATATATGTTACTACTACACCTGCACTATAACCACTGTGAGGCAAGAGGGAGGACCCCTGAGTATCCCAAAATGTCAGAGAATTGCTCTCTGGCCTCTGCTGCCAAAATATTCCTCCTTTGGTTCAGAGAGCCCTGCACTACGAGATGGGAGTGTGGGACTGTGACATGGAGCAGCATCTGGGGGAGTGAAGGCTTTGGGGCTGGGCTGGCTCCATGCAGGGATGGGGTGGGAGGCATCTTCAGGCTCTGGTGAGCCTCCTTCTGGGTTGCACAGGGATTTCATAGCACAGAGGATGGTGGGGAGTCCTGGGACAGCAAGAAACACCAAAATCTCCTTGCCAGTGCTGGGCAGTGGCACCAGTGCCCAAACAAGATGGGACATTGAGTGCCATGAAAGGCCCTAGTGAGGGTGGCCAGAGGAACCCTGAGAAAGCAGGGCTGTGGGAAGGGGCTCCTGGGGGCCAAAATCATGGCTCATGGTCATGCCAGGCTGATGGACACATGTAGGCTCTGTTGTCAGTGAAGGAGCCTCATCCACATGTGTTCCGTAGATTGTGGTGTCAGGCTGTGGAACAAGGAGGGGGAAAGAAATCCTTTGGCAGATCCTTGAGGGAAGCTTGCTGCCCCAACCGACATGGAAGGGGTAAAGAAACAGGATTATTGTGCTGCCCTTATCAGCTGGGGATGTGCCTGTGCCTCTGTGTGCCCTTTGCAACAGACAGAGAGAGGGTTTGGGATGGAGAGACCAGCAGTGGCTCATCCTTCTTGTTTGCCACACAAAAAGCCTTTTTCTTCCTCCTGGCTGGGCTCCAGTGAGGAAAACAAACTCAATTAACATGACGGCTGGGAAGAGGCAGGCAAGCTGTCATTTAGCATTGCAGCTTTTCAGACACAGTAATTCTTCAGTGTGGTTCGTTAGGCTGCTGTGGCAGGGGCAGGCACCAGTCCAGCTCCAGTTATAGGCAGGTCTGGGGGCCTTGGCTGGGATCAGCCACAACTTCCTTGGAGTGGAAGTGAGATGTGTCTGCAGGTCCCCACTCAGCAGAGCTGGTCCTCATTTTCCCTTCTTACAAAAACAGGGGGCACAGATACTTTGGATGGCAGAGGGGACAAGTGTCTCAGCCATGGTTTGGGGCTGACAGTGGCTCCTGACATCAGCCAGGCTGCTCGAGGGCATCCCCTCACCCCAGCTGGGGCAGGGCTGCAGCGGAGGTTGCAGCAAAGGCACGTGAAGGTGATGTGCACCCTCTGCACGCCACAGGGCTGCAGGCCACGTGGGAGCTGGGGCAGGCTGGCCGTGTTGGTGGGGACCTTCCCTGGGATGACCTGCCGGGAAGGTGAGGAGCAGGGTGGGGCACTGGTGCAGCTCCGTGGCTTCCGGCACCTGAGCTGGCTGCTGGCACTGAGGGTGAGCCCTGGGCACGCTGAGCTGCTGAGCCAGGAGACGTGGCCCTGGGCACTGCCCCAGCACAAACAGCACCTGGACAGGAGCTGCCAGCCTGGCTTTGTGCTGGGATAACAGGGAAAAGGCCCTGGCAGGACCCTCATCTGCAGCATCTCTGCTGGATTTTGGGGGATTTGAACCTGGAGGACAATGGAATCCTTGGGGTACTACCACCTGGGAAAAACTTGATGTACAGGACCAAAGCTCTGCTCTGAGCCCCAAACCTCATCTTTTCTGCTCTTTTCTAGGCTTTGCTTGGATCGTTGCCCTGACTGACTATGCTGAAGGTAGTGAGGATTGTTCCTCAAGCCATAAATTATTTTTTTCACTCTTCCTCTATCCAAAACCATTTTATGGGAGCAGAGACACTCTGCACCCAGTTGGCTCCTGATCTGAGGGCCCAGTTTCTCACACACACCCATGAGCCAAGGGTGAGCCAGCCCTTTGCTATCAGAGGAACTTCACACATGCAGCCAGGGAAGAACATATGTAAGTGCCACTGGATTCCCTGGCTAATTGGGATCCTATGGGAGAAGCAGAGGGGAAAAACCAGCAGGAAGGGAGTGAGCATGCATGTCATGGTGCAAACACAGTGACTCAAGAGATGCACATGTCCACCTAAGGGGCCCAATTAACAGTGTTTTAATAATGATTATTACAGGAGTTGACTAAGTGCTCAAAAACGCTTTGAAGCTGAGAAGTGCTGCACTTTACACCTGTTATTAAAATATGTTCCCACTTAGTGGACCCTGCAGTCAGCATCTCCTCATGTGCAGCACCCTGGAGGTGAAGTTTTGCTCAGCCAGACACCTGCCAGAGGGAGGGCCTCATGTTTATTATCTGAGTTGAATCAAACATCTCTACTTTGCAAGTCACCGTTCTTCTTTCCTTCTGATGCATTTTTAGCGCCTGCGGCAGACATTTATAGGGCAGAGGGCCTGAGATACCTAATTTTGCCCTAATACTCTTCTTTCTAGAGAGTGGAAATGACCAGGGAAAGTTGGTTTTGACATTCTTTCCCCTCGCTTTCTGAGGAAAGTGGACTTTCACATATGAAACCCCCAAGACCTCCCTGGCTTTGCCCTCTGCCTCCTGAACCAGGCAGACCCGAGAACAGGCTCCAAAAGGCACCTGATGGATTGAGCATCCACACACTTGGTTTTGGGAGCAAGACTGTTTCCAGGGAGTTCACTGCTCAGTCACTGTCCACATCATGAGTCCACATACACACTGGGACGCCCGGGGTGCCCTGGCTCACCTGCCCACACATGCCAGGCACACAAGAGCCCTTTCAGAGCACACAAAACAAACCAGCAGCCCTTCATGCACTGGAGGCTCTCCACCAGCACCAGCAGTTCCATGTGGAACAGGTTCACTGGCTCTTTAAATGCAGCATGAATAATTTACTCCTCTCTTGCAATTCATCAAATATTTATCCTCCCCATGCATTTCCCAGCCTGGACATGTCACTACGAGGGTAGAAGCAAGGGCTGGGGAATTACTGCTCCTGGAAACTCGGCATTGCCAGAGTACTATCAGATCCCTTCTCTCTTTTTCTTGGCTTCATGGCTCCTCAGCCCTGTGATCTCCTGCCTTCCCCCTCCTCATCACCCATCTTTGAAACATTTTTCTCCTTCTATAAGAGATGTCAAAGGCTATGGCTCCGAAGTCCTGAATGGTCTGTGGGTTTTTTTTTTGGCTTTACAGAGTTTCAAACCTGCTGAATTTGCCAATGAGCTCAAGGTTTTACTTACTATGTTTCTGTAAATTTAGTGAAAACGTTTATGGTGGAGTTGCTATTCATGCTCCCACAGAGAAAGCTGAGTGCACCTCAGCAGCTTTCAGGGAGTGGAGTTAGGAAGTTCATGCTCTGGGCACAAATAATGTCCAGCTTAACCTCTGGACAGTCTTTATTGCTTTTCTAAAGTGTGAAGATTGCAAATTTGGCATTACACTGACTGGGCAGTTCCTATCTGCCTCTGCTGCCCCTTGGACTGCTCCAAGCAGGCAGGGGGGGCCCTGTGTGGGGATGAATGTGCTGGATGAGGCTGTTTCTGGGGTTTGTGCATTAGCATAAAGTGATGAAGGTGCAAAGCATCGGGGCAAAGAAGTACCTCTGCTCCTGTGGTCCCCTGCTCCTGTGGTCTCCTGCCCTTTCCCTGGAGAGGTTTTATGACTCTTTGAAGTCAGACAAGCCATAGCTCAGAGCACATGGGATCTGAGAGAGGGTTCTGGGTTCTGCTGCTCCCAGCTCTTGTCAACACAGACCCTAGAGCAGCAAGGAGTTAAGTAACCCTTGCTGAAGGTCTCAAACACGCATTAAGGAGTTGATGATGCTTGGTAGGTCACTTTCTGTATTCTGTGATTTGCTTTCTGCACTCTTGGTGTCACCATGGATTGGAGCTGAGGTCTGTGTGGAGGAGGAACAGTGCTGGGTTCCTCTGGCACTCACTGAAAGGGTGGTGTGGGAACAGGCAGGAGCTGTGCTGAGCCAGAGCTCTGCCAGAACCCTGCTGCCCACGAGGAGTTGCTCTTGAGGGTGGTGGAGCTGCCCAGCCTTAATAAAAGCCTTTGCCATATCCATGTGCACGGAGGGAGAGTGCCCTGTTGACAGATACTGCTGCTGGCTGCATATCATTAGCACACAGCTCAGGAGAGGGCTGGTGCCAGCAGGGGTGTGAACTCTCTCTCGTTTCACCTGAGCACAAATACAGAGGAATGTCAGGAGGACAGACTTCCCTTGAATCCCAGGTTTGTGTTTGTCCTGGCACAGGAGGCAGGATTGGTTGTGTCCCACCAGCAGCTTGCTGGGGCAGGGGCAGACACAGTGGGAATGGAGATGCTGCTGGCAGTGTCCGGCTCCTGAGGAGTGCAGAAACCTAATCTGCACTTTCTCTGAAACTGGATTCTCTGGATGTGCTAATACCAGTGTGCTTCCAGCTGTGCTATGGAGACCAAGCATGGTACAGCAAAATTCCCCACAAAACCCCAGTGCTGAGGCCAATGACAGCAAAATCAGCTTATCCTCTCCTGCCAACATTCCTCTTTGTGCTGCAGATTTCCCCAGGTGCCAAGGAACAGGTGGGTGGGAAGGTATGGCAGCAATGGCAGAACCATTGCTGAGGATGGATGTTTCATGGTGGGATCCCAAGGTGTCCAACCCAGGATGTGGCATACAGACAGGCATTTTGGCATGCCCCCCCACAGAGTCCAAATGAAGCCAAGTTCTGAAGACAGACTCTGACTAGAATTTAATGGGATATTTGAGATTTGAAATTTTATAACAAGCTTAAGGTCTGAGATAGAATTAGACCCGTATCTCACTTCTGGGCTATCCAGAACCTGACTTGCCTTTCTCCAGAAGTTGGTTTGATGTGGGAACACATTTTTCTTGAGACCTAAATTCAAGTCACATTGCCACAGCCTTGCAGGTGGGGCACGTGATTCCATGTCAGTAGCACACCCTTCCAGAAGAACCCTTTAAAATTAATTTGCAGGAACCATAGGAGCGTAGCTTGGTATTTCAAGGAGTCAACACTTCATGGTGCTGATTTGCCCCTGCATAGCTGGGAATATCTCAGCGAAGTCTGTCATCAATCCCTGCATGCTAAACAGCTGATTTTCTTGCTGCCTAGGGGTGATCCAGACAAATGTGACATCTGGGGGAACACCCCCCTCCACCTGGCAGCAGCCAATGGCCACCTGAACTGCCTCTCCTTCCTCATCTCCTTTGGGGCCAACATCTGGTGCCTGGACAATGACTACCACACCCCACTGGACATGGCAGCCATGAAGGGGCACATGGAGTGTGTGCGGTACCTGGACTCGATTGCTGCCAAGCAGAGCAACCTCAACCCCAAGCTGGTGAGCAAACTGAAGGACAAGGCCTTTCGGGATGCAGAGAGGAGGATTAAGGACTGCGTGAAGCTGCAGAAGAAGCACCACGAAAGGATGGAGAAACGGTACAGAAAGGAGATGTCAGATAATTCGGACACCATGAGCTTTTCCAGCTATTCAAGCAGCACCTTAAGCAAGAAGTTCCAGCACATGTCTATGGTGACTTCCCTGCCATACTCACAAGCCACCATCCATGGCACAGCCAAGGGGAAGACGAAAATACAAAAGAAACTAGAGAAGAAGAAGCAGGTGGACGGGACATTCAAGATCTACGAGGATGGCAGGAAAAGCGTGCGCTCTCTGTCTGGTCTGCAGCTGGGCAATGACGTCATGTTTGTGAAGCAGGGCACGTACGCCAGCCCGAAGGAGTGGACTCGCCGCAATATCCGAGACATGTTCCTCACGGATGAAGACACTGTCTCCCGTGCCATAAGCGACCCAGGTTTGCACATGGACTCGGCCCACTCGGAGGTCAGCACCGACTCCGGACACGACTCCTTGTTCAACCGTCCCGGGCTGGGCACCATGGTGTTCCGGCGCAACTACGTGAGCAGCGGGCTCTTCGGGATCGGCCGGGAGGACGGGGCCGCGCCGGGGGAGGACGGCGCCGACGGGATGGGCGTCAGACTGCGGAGCCGCCTGCAGCGCTCGCCAAGTCTCAACGACAGCATTGGCAGTGCCAACAGCCTGCAGGAGAGGAACGCGGAGGAGCTGCCCTGGGATGAGGTGGAGCTGGGCTTAGACGACGATGATGAACCAGACACAAGCCCCTTGGAAACTTTTCTGGCTTCCCTGCACATGTTTGAATTCATCTCCATCCTGAAGAAGGAAAAGATTGACTTGGAGGCCCTCATGCTGTGTTCAGACAATGACCTGAAGAGCATCAATATCCCTTTGGGCCCCAGGAAAAAGATTGTGGATGCCATCCAGAGGAGACGACAAACGCTGGAGAAGCCAGATGTCATTGTAGACACTGAACTGTAAGTAGGAGATGGGGTGTCTGAGGGGTTAAACCCTTCAGCAGGGGGAGATATGGATAACGTAAGGTCTTGTTTTCAACCTTCTTTGGAAGAGTAGGAGTCCAGGTAACCTCAGCACTTCTGTGTGTAGGCAAATTCCTGCTCGTGTGGAAAGGATGAGAGTTTGGAGAGGTGGCAATAGCGTTAGTTCATTACTCAACAACCTTCATGTAACTGGGCAGGACGTGAAGCCCTTGTTTTGTTTCATAACCCATTTGAATGCAGACTGCTTTGTGGTCTGATGCTTCTCAGTCCATGTAGCTGAGATTTTCAACCACACTCAGGCTTGTCTTGACTCTTCACCTCTTGAAGACGTTAGGAAATCAACCGCAATTCCTGGTGGGAGCAGGCTGACGGCAGCGCCAGGTGGCTTTGGGAATCCTTCCCCAAATGCTAGAGGTCTTACTCAGGCCTCTGGAGATTGCATATCTAGGTTGGAGTTGTTGCTGTTTTATGGTGTTTCCAGGGTTTGGTTGGTAGGGTTAAAGGACTGTGTACCTGTCAGAGAGGCCACATGCACTGACACCCCAATTCACTGTGTTGTTTGGGCTTCCCAGCCTTCAGATATCTGTGTGCTGCTTTTACAGCCTTTCAGTACAACTTCTTCTTGGATCCTCATGGTGCTGATAGATTTTTCTATTTTCCTTTGCAGATAGCAGCAGCATCTTTTTTGGTTTTTTGTTGTTTTTTTTTTAATGCTCGAGAAACAAACCCAGTTCTAAGTTGCCAGAAAACACAAGCCAGAGACTCCCTTTCTGGGGCAGCTGAAAGCTACAGCCATCCCCACCAGTCCCACGGGACTGCTCCCTCACTCTGCTCCCTGTCTGTGCAATGCTTCCGGGCAGTTCCTGCCATGGAGGGATGACAGCCGAGACTGGACCAGGCAGCTCCAACCTGCCAGCCTTCAAGGGACCATGGTCTCCCACTCACTGGAGGAAGGAGTGAGCTGCACAGATGGCTGGGACGCTGCTGTCACAGGCTGTGAGACCACACCAAGCCATGAATGGAAGGAGATAACGTGATATTTTCAAAGGGACACAAAATAAATAATTACAAGCTATTCTTCCCTGAGCAAGTGGTTGTTTTGGGGTTTGGGCTTGAGGAGCAGAGGGTTCGGGAATTCTGCTCTCTCTCCTGGTTCTCATTTGGTGAGAAGCATCATCCTGTCTGATGCTGTGTTTTTGGAAGGGAGTTCTGATGGCCATGGTCTCAGTCTGAGATGTGCCAGCTGTGACTTTGGCCAGCTGGTGCCCAACAAATTTGTGAGTCTGATCTGTGCTGTCTTGAGGGCAAAATCAAGAATGAAGAAGATGCTCCGAACATGTCGGTAGCTGCCTTCCAGTGGTCAAATGGTTGTTTCACAGACGCATTGTTTATGTCCCATCTCTCCAGGGCACTGAGCTGTGTCAGCAGTTTGTGTACAGAGGACCTTGTCTCTGAAACCCAGCAATTTCCCAGGACTGAGCACAGCACCAGACTGCAGCCCAGAGCCTCTTCTGAGCATCCCTGATGCATCAGTGCTCCAAGCACAGCTCTGAACCACAATGTCAGGTGTTCCCACAGACCCATCCCACTGACCAGTGCACTCCCAGCTCCACTGCGCCATTTCATGTGTGATCTATGAATGGCTCCTGGGTTGCAGGAGTTTCTGGGGTGCAGCAGCAGGATGGGCAGTGACATATCCTGTTGAGGGAGAGTCAGCAGCCTGTGACATGGGGTATTGACAAAGTGCCTGTTCAGGCTGTGATGCAGACTGCCAGATCAGAAAAATGCTGCACACGTTACTGGCATTGTTCATCCACTTCATCTCAGGGATACAAATGATGAGGAATGACTTGTGTGTGCTCATCCCAGGCCAGGCTGGGATTTGGACCACACTTAGTCCCTTTGGAACTGCAGAGGCCATGGTTTTGTTGGTGTGAAGCAGCTGTGCTGCTCTCTGTCTGTGCTTGCCCTGGGTGTGTGGGTGTAGGGGAGGAAAATTACTCTTTGCAAGTTGGAAATGCTCTGGTGTTTCTCTGCCCTGCTGCTTCCCCAGTGGCTGAATCCCCACCAGGAGAATGTGGGGTCCCAGCCTCAAGCCACTGTACACAGAGATGCTCTGGCACCCCCTAAACACCATCACTGCACTGAGGGTCTGAGATCTTTCTGCACAGATGTAAACTGACTCGTTTTTTTTTTAAGACATAACAATGCATTTATATTTGAAATTACAAGTTCTGCATAACTCTTGGCTCAATGTACAGGCAAAAGGGTGAGCGATCGGATGTGCTGAGTCAGTGAGTTCTCCAAGAAGACTGCACTACCCCAGCCCCAGCACTGTTTTTTTTGGTCCCTTTCCAAAGCCTGGGGCTGGTGTCCCAGCAGGGAGAGCGATTGCTTGGCTGATGTCACAGCTCCCTCTGCCGGGACCGGGTCTGGGAGAGGAGGATGGGACCCACAGCCCACTGGGATCCATTGCTGCCAGCAGGACCTGCACCCTCGGGCCAGTTTTCAGGTGAGGCTGCGATCACTAACTTCACCCTCTTCCTCATGCACATGTGAAACTCATCCAAGCCCTCTGCCCCTTCTCTGGGTAACTGCCAGAGCATCAGCTGCCCACCATGAGCCAGTCCCCAGCCCCAGTTTCCCTGGGGATGGATTGTGCCTTTGGGTCTGTGCAGGGTGCAGGAGGGGAGTGATTTGCCATGGCTTACTCCATTGCCACTCCCGTGCAATGGGAACCAGGATATCCCAGCAGATGGCAAAGAGAAGTGGATCTATTGGCTTGGCACCCACTGGAGACTTTAGCAGGCCAGGCACTGGGATGTGGAAGGTATTTCAGAGGTCTAGGCACCTGGGGTGTGCACACTCCCTGACTTTTGCCATTTTGCTTAGGAGCACCCAAGCAGTTGCTGATGTTGAGCTGATGCGAGCAGAGATCCTTTCTCCCAGCTTGTCTTTCCATCAAAGAGCCTGTGAAAGGTTTGGTGAGATGACAGTACCCAAGTGCCATGGGGTGTGTCCCTGCATAGCTAAGACCAAGGCCAGAAATGCCACTTGGGATCACCAAGCCCTGAGATCAATGTGGTCACCTCTGTGATGCAGGGAGAGACCAAAACTGAGCTGTGGCATCAATGCAGTGTGGCAGAGCCCAAGAGATGGGCCCTGTGGGGTGAGGAGGGTGGTGTGTGGGCATGGGGGGGCTATCATTGGCACCAAAAACTCCAGACCAAGCACCTGCCTTTGGATCTCATGCGTGTTCTTTGTCTCCAGGTTTGGTCCCTGGTTTCCAGCCAAGTTTGACCCACAACGTGCAGGGCCACAGCCTTTGCAGGAGACAACATCCAAAGCCCTGGCCAAAGAGATGTTTCCTGCATTCCAACCCCCCCTGTCCAGCTGGGTTGCTGCATCCCGCTGGGCTCAAGATGGAGCATGAGACAGGAACGTGGCTGTCCCCAGGTTCTCAGAGCTCAGCTTGCCCTGTGGCTGCTCTGCCCATCGGAGCTTCCACGGGGGAACCTCACGGTGCTCATTACACTCCACGACCGAGAACAACAAGCTCCTTTCGGAGAGGGCACTTGTGAAAGCAGGGTGGAGGCCAGGGCTGGCACACCCTGGAGAACACCCTTAAATACCCTCCCAAACAGAAACCCAGGCAGGCAGCAGGTTTCCCCGACCCGCTGCTGCCAAGGAGCAAACACTGTCCCGGCCTGTGGCACCAGAGCAGTCAGACACGGGGCAGGTCCTGCAGTGGATGGCAGCGTGTCCCCATCAGGGAACCAGTGATCCTGGGGATGGTTGTCCTGTAATGCCCCAAGCCACAAACCCCAAACCATCCTGTGTCTGTGTTAAATGGGGCTTCCCAGCAAAACCAGTCCCCTGGGTTTAGCTTGGACACGTGTTTCCTTGTCCCTGACAATGTTGGAGGTGGTGTGTAGGGAGTGGAGAAAGGCTAATGGGCCACTCCAGTGGTCCAGTGGCATGGACACTTCATCCTTGAGCTGGACAGCCCAAGCTCCTCCACTGAAGGAGCATTGCTCATGAAAGTGATGCTGATTCCCAGGCCCTGCCTTTGTCCCCAGGCAGCTGCTGCAAGGGGGGATATGTTGGCACTCACTAGCACTCAGATGCTCCAGACCATGGTCTGGAGTGGGGAGAGAGCAGGGGAGGTTTTTGGGCATCACTGAGGTCACAGAGTGGTGGTGTTGGAGATGTCGGTTTGCAGGCACATTGCAGCATTTCTGGGTACCACTGCTGGCCTGTGGGGACCTGGCTGCTTCTCCAGGCAGCACCAGGTTTTTGCCTGCTGCCCTTGGATGGCACGTGTGCTCGGCCTTGCCATGTGGCACTGACGTGGGAACTGAGGAAGAACATCAACCACAGGGCACCATGTAGAATCCACGGGACACTAGATAGGTCCTACAGGCAGAGAGGATCAGGGAGAGGCATTTTACTTGGGCTGGAGCACCTTGCCCTCAGCCCTGCCTGGTGCTCCTCTTCCCCAGTCTCACCTGGAGTTGGTGACAGCCACGGTGCCCACACCGGAGGGTGACTCTGGGGTCTAGGACCTGCCAGGCCAGCATGGGCCATTTCACCCCACTTGCTTAACTATTTCCTGCCCATCCCACCAGGGATTCACTTCCTGGCCCAGCAGCTGAGTAATGCATGGCTGCAGGAAGGTGCATGGCCAGGATGGAGCAAGGGACAAGGGGATTATTGCAGAGCACCTCCTGCATGCTCTGGATTTGCCAAGCCTTGCATGGTGTTCCCTGGCAGCCCAGCACAGGGATGGATGTGGCACTGATATGGCCTGGGTCGGATGCAGCACCTCATGGGGGCCTTGCAACTGCTTTTGGGAGTCTCCATGGCTGTTCCCAAAACCAAAGTGCCCCAAAAGGCAGGGACATGGACACAGCTCAGCATGTCTTCCCAGTGACAGTTGCTGAGTGGGAAAGTGGGAGAAGTTGAGGGCCATTTTATTTA